CCACAATAAGATATCATCTCACATCTGTCAGAAAGGCTGTCATCAATAGGTCAGTAAACAAGTGTTGGCGAGGTTGTGGAAAAAAGGGGACCCTCGAGCACTGTTGGTGGGAATACAGACTGGTGCAGCCATTATGGAAAACAGTATGGAGGTTCTTCAAAAAATTAAAACTAGAACTACCTTATAACCCAGCAATCCTACTTCTGGGTACTTATTCAAAGAAATCCAAAACACTAATTTAAAAAGATATATGTATCCCTATGCTCATTGCAACCTTATTTACAATAGCCAAGATATGGAAACAACCTAAGTATCCATTAATAGACAATTGGATAAAGAAGAAGTGGTATATATGTATATACAATGGAATATTACTTGTCCATAAAAAAATGAAATCTTACCATTTGCAGAAACATGGGTAGACCTAGAGGGTATTATGCTAAGTGAAATAAGTCAAACAGAAAAAAACAAATGCCAGGGGATTTCACTTATATGTGGAATATAAAGAACAAAACAAACAAACAAACAAAAAAACAGACTCATAGATACAGAGAACAAACTGATGGCTGCAGTATGAGAGAGGGTTTAGGGGTTTGAGTGAAAAAGGTGAAGGGATTAAGAAGTGCAAATTGACAGTTACAAAATAGTCATGGGGATGTAAAGTACAGAATAGGGAATAGAGTTACTTATATTGTAATAACTATGTTGGGTGCCAGGTGGGTAGTAAACTTATCTGAGGGATCACTTCATCTATATATATAAAAGTCTAAGTGACTGTTACTACTGAACGACCAAACAACCGAAACGACTGGAATAACCGGTCAACCAGTCACTATGACATGCACTGACCACCAGGGGGCAGACGCTCAATGCAGGAGCTGCCCCCTGGTGGTCAGTGCACTCCCACAGCCAACCTTCCCTCCCCAGTCCCTTCCCCCATCTGGCAGGCCCCGGCCAGCCCGGCCCCAATAGGCCCTGATTGCCAGCCAGGCCTAGGGACCCCACCCATACACGAATTTCATGCACTAGGCCTCTAGTAAGTTATGTAATTGTCTAACCACTATACTGTACTCCTGAAGCTAATATAATATCGAATGTCAACTGTAATTGAAAATGTTTTAATTAAAAATAAAAAAAGAATCCTAGTTCTAGAATGGGTCAAAGAGGAGTGTGAGGAGAATCAAAACAGGCAGTTGTGGAGGGTACTGTTGCGATGAGAGGGAGGGGCAAGCAAGAGATGGATGAGGCAGAGAGAGAAGTGAGGGCAGGAGAAGGGGAGACAGACAGATGGGGTCTAGCTTTTGAAAGGAAGAGGGACCCTCATCCACTGCCCTGGAAGGAAGACAGTGGAGATGGGTGAGATGTAGGTCAAGCTGTCTGGAAGGTGAGGGAGTGACTGATGATGGCTTCTATTTTCTCAGGAAAGAATGCAGTGAGGAGACAAGAGTGAGAGTCTTTGAGGAGAACAATAAACCAGACTTCCCAGGATGAGAGAGGGTGTATGACAGGCCATTTAGGCACCCATTTGAGGTTCAAAGTGAAGCCAGTCAGCCCAGCAAACACCAGGGATATTCTAAAGGGATTCTAGTCGTTTTCTCAAACGTTGCAGGCTTGTTTTGCAGAGCTGAAACCATACTGCACATACAATTTTATATCCTGCTGCTTTACACTTTACGGGGCAGGAGGAGCATTTCCCCGTGCCTTCATAAACTCTTTGCAAACATCGATTTTAATTCTTAGAAATAATCCGCGGAGTGGATGTTCCATGGGTCATTTAACCTTTCCCCCTTTTATTGGACGTTTCAATTGTTTCCTGGCGATGACTATTGCCATTCCGAAAGAGGCGGCGTGTGTCTGGTTAAGAAAAAAGCAAGTAAGTTACAAGGCAGAGCTGGGACGGCTGGCACTCTGGCGCCTGGGGCCCATCAGGGAAGCATGGGAATTGGTGTTCCTGAGAGGTCACAGGCTGGGTTTTCCTGGACTTGAGGACAAAGAATGGAATAGCAAAGCAAATATCTCTGGCTTCTCAAAGTGCCCCATGGTTCAGGTGTGGAGCATGGGAGAATGAAGGTGGGGAGAGGGTCCCAGAGAAAAGGGAGGGCCAGGTGTATGACCCCTGAACCGTTTACAGTTTAAACATGTATTGCAACAGCCATGTTTGAGGTGACAACAGGGCCCTTTTCGTGCCTGTTTCCCCCATAATAGAGGTCCTTCTGCCACCCCACCCTTCCTGGAGGGGGCACTGCCCCAGCACACCTGGCCATGGGCACAGTATCTAGGGACCCAGGTGCCCTCCACAAAGCCCAGCTGTGAGGATGGAGTGAGTGAAATAATGGGCTCACCTGCCCAACAGAGGCTGGGGTGGGGGGGCACTTGGTGGGATGTTTTCCAGGGGAGCCAGCCCTTGGTGGAGGCAGATTGCTCTGGGACTGGCCCAGACCCCTTCCAACTTTGAGGTTCTGTGATTCAACAGTGCAGCACTCACTGAAGCCCCACTGTGAGCTAGGGACAGAGAAGTAATCCCCTACTGATGGAGTGCCTACTGTGTGCCAAACACTGGGCTTCCTGTGCATGCTGTCACCTCATGTCAGGACAGGCCAATGAGGAAAGCATCATCACCCATCTAAGAGGGGGGAACCAGGAGGGGCAGCCCCAGGCTTCCCCTGCAGCACAGGGTGCCTGAGGGAGAACCCCACAGCATAACCCTTTCCTGTAGCATTTACGCCCCATGAGAAAAGGGCCTGGGTAGCAGGTGTTAGGCACCAGGTGGCACCTGGTAGCTGAGGTGAGAGGTTCTGTCTTAGAGCCAAGGAGTTCAGTGTCCCCACCCTTTGGGCTGGCGGGGGCAGAGCCAGAGGCCAAGGGGTGCCAGGTCTTGTTTGTGTGTGTTTGTGGAACTTGAGTTTCTGATAGATGATAATCATTGCCAGGCCTCCCCAGCTGGAACTGGAGCAGGCACAGTGCCAGGAACTACCGCCCTCAGGACAAGTATAAGAGCCAAAGAGGACCTGGAGCCGGGCCAGGACAGAGGTGCCAGCCACCTGCGGGGACACCAGGGTGCAGAGCTAAAGCTGCGGCATTCAGACCGCCAGGTGGGCAGGGTCGGCTCTGGAAGTGGCCCCCTGTCTGGAAGGTCTGGGAGATGCCCTAAGGAAACCACTGGGCTGCACTGGTTGGAGGAAGTCACCAGAAGTTTAACTCAGCAGGGTGAGTACATTGCCATGGCTCCTGCCTTTCCCCACAAGCTCCTGGCCCTACGAGTGACTATCTGTCCCAGAGGTGCCAAGTGGAGACCGAGTGGCCACTTGTCAGGAATTTGAGCCCTGGATCTCTCAAAGAAGCAGTGTGTGTGTGTGTGTGTGTGTCTGTGTGTTGGGGGGGGGGGGGGAGTAGCAGAAGCACTATCATTTATCCTGTGCTCACCAAACACCGGGCACTGTGGGTAATCTCACTAAGTTAAAGCCAGAGGATGGAGGCCTGGCTTCGCATCCCAGTTCTCGAGGTATTACCTCCATTGACTCTTACAACAGCCCTATGAGGTAGATATTTTACAGAGGAGGAGACAGAAGCACAGAGATGTTAAGTTACTTGCCCACAGACACACAGCAAGTAAGTGGCTAAACCTGGATTTGAACTCTGCCTCCAAAGCCTGTGCCCTTTACCTCCGTATTATGCTATCATGTGGCTGTGGTAAGTCCCTTCCACTTTCTGAGGGGCAGTTTCCTTATCCTAGTTTGAGTGTGTAAGATATTGCCCTGAGATTCCCTAAAGGTACCTGGACATGGGTCAGCTTTAAACATCAGGAAACCTTTTTGGAAACATTTGTCAAGAACTATGTGTATAATAACTTTTGATCCAGCATTCAACTTTAGAAATTTATCATAAAGGACATAATCGGATTTATGAATAAGGAAGTTCATTATAGTTTTCCTTTTAATCACAGAAAATTAGAAGCAAACAAATTTGAGGAAAAAATTATGTACATCCTATGATGAAATAATAAACAGCAGCACATGTTCAAAGGGTACTGAATGTTCTTGGGAAATTCTCATTTGTTACGTGGAAAAAGCACTTCATAAAACTATGCATGGGTATGATCTATTTATAAATATGTGTATACATAGGTTTATGAAACAAATATAAAAAACTAGAAAAAATATCCCTAGGGGTTGAGAGTTTATCTCTGAGAGATGGAAGATTGAATATTTTTATATTTTTCTTTATTCATGTCTAGATTCCTCAAATTTTCTACAAAAATACACGTGTACTACTTTTTAAAAAAATATATATTTTATTGGTCTTTTTTACAGAGAGGAAGGGAGAGGGATAGAGCATTAGAAACATCTATGAGAGAGAAACATCGATCAGCTGCCTCCTGCACACTCCCTACTGGGTATGTGCCCGCAACCAAGGTACATGCCCTTGACCGGAATCGAACCTGGGACCCTTGAGTCCGCAGGCCGACACTCTATCCATTGAGCCAAACCGGTTAGGGCGTGTACTACTTTTTTCATTAGAAAAATTAAGGTGTTTTTTTTTTTTAAACTATGGTTTTATTGATCTTTTTTATTTTTAGAAAGAAAGGGAGAGGAATAGAGAGATCAAAACATGAGAAAGAAACAGTGATTGGCTGCCTCCTGCACGCCCCTACTTGGGATGGAGCCCACCACCAGGGCATGTGCTGCTGACTGGTCTCCTGGTTCATGGGTTGATGCTCAACCACTGACCCACACCAGCCAGGCTGCTTCTGTTTTTTTAAATCCGATTTTTGGCCTTGGGCAGCCCTTCTCTGTTATATTGCACTCGTTGGCTTGAACAGGGAACTGAATCTCAGGCTGTCCGTATTGCGAGGGTCCAACATGTTATATGTGGGGAAAGTGAGGCCCAGGGGTGCAAGGGACTTGTCCAAAGTTCCTAGGCCAGACTGCTAGAAGGGCAAGGAGGCAGAAGGGAACCACTCCTAGAATTTACTGTTTGTGGCTAACGTGTGTTCATAACTAACATGCAAGTGAGGCCGTGAATGTCGAGTGTAGCTGACCTCACAGACACACCCAGTGACGACTCAGGCTGGGAGTGACAAGCGCGAGTGAGCAAAGGGCAGCTGGGTGAGCACAGAGCAAGCCAGGTGTGTCCCAGACTTCTACCTCTCATCTGTCAGCCTCGCCCAGGGGCGCTTCCTCCCGGCAGGACTGAGGCCTCGCTCGCTCACTGCTGGCGGCTGGATTCAGACAGGAGAATGAAAGGACTTCGCTGGCGTTACACTCGGCTGGTAAGGGGTCCAGCTTGAGCTGGGTGTTAGGTCAGGAATGGTGGGGGAAGGTAAGCTCTCGGGCAGGGTGGGGCCTGAGCTAGGGATGAATGCAGGCAGGCGATTTGTTCCTCTTCCAAGTCCCTCTCCAGCTGGCCTGGGGTTCAGAGCAGGAACTCAGGAACCCAGGGCCTTCGCTCCCAGACTCATGGTCCTGAGACCCCCAAGGAGCATAGACTGCTGTTCCGTTTCTTCCTCCCTCGAGTGGGTGCCAGACGGAGCTCTGTCCAGAAGCCCCACACAGCTAGGACCCCCTCCTTAGGCCTGAACCTGGGGAATAGGAAAGCAATGTCTGAAACAGCGTGGAAGCTCGAGTGAGTGAATGAATGAATGCATGCATGCATGAATGAATGAACGTAATAACATACATGCCCCCTGACTCACATACATATAGAGGGTTTCCCCCAAAAATGTATGCACACTTTAACAGCTGATAATTCACTGAATTTTCACTCCTTTCCAGGTTTATCTGACTTGAAATAATGGGTGAAGCCAGACTAAGCTTTGAACAAAGAAAATTTATCCTAAAATGCCACTAGACTTGTTTTTAATGGGGATCCATAAAAGATAAAGTTTATGGTTCAAAACCAACAACAATCCACAAATTGAGGGTACACAAATACTAAACAAAATGATTCTTTTTAAAAATGTTTTCAAGCATATTAACCCTTTTCTTCTTTTTTAAAAATATGTTTTTATTGATTTCAGAGTGAGGAAGGGGGAGGTAGAGAGACAGAAACATCAATGATGAGAGAGAATCATTGATCGGCTGCCTCCTGCGCACCCCTCACTGGGGATTGAGCCTGCAACCCTGGCATGTACCCTGACTGGGAATCGAACCATGACCTCCTGGTTCATAGGTTGATGCTCAACCACTGAGCCATGCCTGCTGGGCCGAAATGATTCTTGATGTTTGCAATTCCATTACTTCGAGTTACCAGCAGTGCCTGGACCAGAACAGTCATCAGTTTGAAAACAGGCATTGACAAAAAAAATTATTCATTTCTGTAGATTCTTCTGAATTTTGAAAATGAACTGTATGTTAATAAACACCGACTTTATAATCATTCGAAGTGTGTATACATTTTTGGGGGACACCCTGTATTTATACAATCCCAACCCACACTCACAAATACATTGACAGGTAAACACAAAGTTACACTCAACACCTTCTCACACTGATTTGCCTGCACAATTCTATTTTAAGGGAACACACACATTCGCATGTACAATCGCACATTTTACACAAAACTGCACACGCCTCACCTATGACATGATTGTTTCACTGGCTGACGGGGGTCTCATTGTCTTCCTTTGTAAAATGGGGATAATAAGCAGCACATTCTTAGGATTCTTGGGGAAATTCGGAGAGATCGTGCACAGCTAGCACTTCACAAGGGCCTGGACGAGTGTGTGCTGATCAATGTCAGCCACTCTAGTTATTATTATTATGATCACTAGAGGCCCGATGAACAAAATTTCATGCCAAGAGTAGGCCTTCCTTCCCCCGGCTGCTGGCACCTGCTTCCCTCTGGCACTGGGACCCGGGCTTCCCTTGCAGCCCTGGCTTTGTCCAGAAGGTCATCCGGAAGGACACCTGGAAGGACGTCTGGTCTAATTAGCATATTATACTTTTATTATTATAGATGATTTCATGTACAATTTCACACAGCACCCAGGGCTGGGCTGTCACCTGCCCTTCTCTCCTGCCCCCGAGCTGAGAACTGGATCCCTGGCACCCACCCTGGGTCCAGAGCACACAGGCAGACAAACCAGAGGGCCCAGGGCCACCTCTGATGGGCGTGTGTGATTCCAACCGTTAGCTAGCAGGTACCAGGGAGGAAGCCGGCTGGCGGGACTGAGTCTTGTCTGTGATGGACACTTCCCAGCCTCCTCTGGCTGGGCTGGCAGGGGCCTGGGCAGGAGTGGCTGAGGCTCTCAGGCCTGGGAGATGTGGGAGCTGGTGTCTTCTGTCCCTTGACTCGCCAGGCCTCTTTGTGTCTTCACAGCCCAGCCAAGTGGAGGACACTCTGTCTGGAGAGGAGGGTGAGGAGGGGGAAGAGGAAGAGGAGAAGGAGGCAGCCCCAGCTCCAGCCCCAGCTCCTGAAGATCCCGTGGAGCCCCAGTTGGCAGAAGCCAGCCAGGTTCTGGGAGCCTCAGAGATTAGGCAGGTTCGGCCTGGTTTATGGTGCAAGGATTTCAGCCCTGTGACCGAGAGTCCCACCCGCCTGTCCTACTCCCAGCCAGGTCCAAGGACACCTGGGATCACTCCTGCTCTGAACCCCGCTCACTGTGTCACCCTGGCAAATCATTTCTCCTCTGGGCTTTCCTTTCCCACTTGTCAAACAATCCAGTAATACCAGTCACCGTCTTCACTGGGCCAAGAAGTGAAGGATATATGACATAAGCTAATGTTTAAGTAGAACCAGCCCTTGGGAACTGAAGCCAAACTTGGGGTAGGGATGAGAGGATGAGGGGAGGGGGATTAGGAGGAGGGATTCAGCATCTCATCTATTCTCCAGCCACTAGAGGCCAGGGTGACCAAGGAGAGAGAGAACTGACCTGGGTTCAAATCCTGACTCTGCCACTTGCTGCCCATGTGGGCTTTAGACAAGCTGACCACCTCCCCTAGCCTCATCTGTAAAATAGTCCCTCTCTGAGGGCTACTCCTAACAGGTGTGAAAGTCCCCGGGAAACAGGAAACCACTCTGTAGACTATAAAGTACCTTGCTTGTGTGAGTGGGACCCCCCCGGGGATAGTAAAAGGAGACTGGGAGGACGGGGATCCCCCCACTCACCTCTGGACCTGTCCCCAGCTCAGCCTCCACCTCCCCCCGAGAGTCACTGGATATTCTTGGAGTCTGGCCTTCTGCACGGCAAGGGACGGCTTCAGTCTGCAGAGCCTGTACAGGCAGATGGAGGGCCACAGTGGGCCTGTGCTGCTGGTGCTGAAGGACCAGGATGGGCAGGTGAGCCGGGCTGGGGAGTGTTAAGGAAAGGATGTGTGTAGATGGGCCCTTGGGGGCCTCTCCACCCTCCAGCACTGCCCCAGGCTCCCCAATTGCCCCTCTAGGATGAGCCTATATCACCAAGCTTGGAAATTGGGTTTCCAGAGGATCACCTCTTTCCTTCCAGCTGCAAAATGCAAGCTCTTCTGCTTTCCAGATATTTGGGGCCTTCTCCTCCTCAGCTTTTCGACTCAGCAAAGGCTTCTATGGTACTGGCGAGACATTCCTCTTCTGCTTCTCCCCACAGCTGAAGGTGATGTTCCCACCCTTGTGGAAGGGGGTGGAAGGGGTCTATGGCAGGACAAAGATCCCAGGGTCTCAGTGGCCCCCAGCTCCATCCCCTGTGCTGGGGTGCCTGGTGTCCTCCAATCTTCCCACAGAGGGAAGGCAGGAGGGCAGTGGCAGGCAGAGCACCCCCCTTGGCCTCCCCATCGTTGTGTGTGTTTGTTTAAATACTCAGTAGGTCCTTGGCAACCACTTACTGGCTCTCAGAGGAAGAGGTTTGTTGCTCACCAGATACAGGCTGGAAAGACAAGTTTAGTCGAAGTGCAGGTAGATCTGGGGGCGCTGCGAGCGAGGATGGAGGAGGAGGTGTGAAGGTTGAGGGGAGAGAAAGTATCAACTAGTGATCACGAGAGTGGAAAGGGAAGCCCATGAGAGAAAACTAGAGACACGGAAGGACAGCCAGGCAATGCTGATGGGAGGGTTGAGACTGAATTTTAAAGCAAGCCAGGTACTTTGGCATGTGCTTCCCTCCAGCAACATTCAGCTCTTCAGGTTCAGGCAAAGGAGAGCGTGCAGAGTGGAGGGAGGGTTCATCCATGAGGGGTTTGGCCAAGCTGTTTTAACCGAGGAGAGAGGGAAAAGGAAGTTGAAGGGAGTGGAAATACAAGATGGAGGGAGAAATAGTGCTGGATACTTTGGTTTGTGATTAGGTACCTCCTCTCCAGTGCACAGACCAAGACACCTACAGACACATCCAGCAGCACAAACGTCTGGTTGCATGACAAGGAGGTCACGAGGAGCTAGGGACTGCCTTGCTATAGGCGAATGCACTTTATCTATTGCATTGCCTGGTAATCTCATCAGGAAAGAGGAAAGGGGTCAGTTGTCCATAGTGAAGCCACGCTGGAGACTAGTCATCGCCGCCTGCCTTCCGGGGTTCACATACTAGAATTCTAGAATTTTCCTCTTACTGAACTGACAACTCCTTGACAGAATTCTTTGTTCCTCCTCATCTTCCCCAACCTTTTAATGTCAGAGATCCTAGAGCTCAGTTTTGGGTTCTCCGCTCTTCTCTGATTACCCTCTTTTTCTTCAAGGTCCTATCCATTCTTACAGTTTTCTGTGCCATCCATGTGCTCATGGCCTCTTCCCCTGGACTCCAAACTCACATATATCCAAACACCATCCAGTGGCTCCACAAATCTCAAACATGGCATTTCAGATCTCACATGTCCAAAGCTGACTTTCCCCCATAAAACAGCGCCTCCTGCCATCTTCCCCAACAAAGTTAATTGGCACCTCCATCTTTCCCGCTGCTGAGACCAAAAATTTTGGAGTCCTTCTTAACATCTCTTCTACACCTCACATCTGAGCTGTCAACGAATTTTGACTGTCCTGCCTTCTCTTTCTATCTATATCCAGAATCCACCACTTTTCACCATGCCCTTTGCAGTCATCATGGTTCAAGCCACCATCATTATTTGCCTGTGTTCTTGCTCTAGCCTCCTACTGCTTCTACCTTCCATCATCACAGTAGATGAAATGATCCCTTTAAAAGCTAAGTCAGAGCATGTCACTGACTCCACGCTGCCAATGGCTTCCTTTCTCACTCTGAGAAAAGCCAAAGTCTTTAAAATAACTTACAAGTCCCTACATCTTCTGACCTCTCACTATTCTTTCTTTTTAAATGTTTTTATTGATTTTTAGAGAGAGAGAAAGGAAGATAGAAAGAAACATCAATGAGAGAGAAACATCACCGATTGGCTGCCTCCTGCATACCCCCTACTGGGGATTGAGCCCGCACTTGGGTATGTGCCCTGACTGGGAATCAAACCAGTGACCTTTGGTTCATGGATTGACACTCAACCGCTGAGCCACACCAGCTAGGTTGTTGTTGTTTCTTGCTACTTTTCCTTTACCTCACTATGTTCTAGCCACACTGACTTCTGAGCTGGTCATTAAACCCGCTGGCCTGCTATTACCTCAGGGCCTTTGTACATGATGTTCTGCCTATAGAGCCCTCCATTGGGTCTCCACAAGGCTTAGTTCTCACCTCCTTCAGTTCTCAAATGTCACCATCTCAGAGAGGCCTTCCCTGGTCGCCTGATTTAAATTTATAATACTCCACCCCCGGGAAACCCTGTTAGCCCTTTTCTACCTTTTTACTTCACTCTTTTTTAAAAAAATATATATTTTATTGATTTTTTACAGAGAGGAAGGGAGAGAGATAGAGAGCTAGAAACATCGATCCGCTGCCTCCTGTACATCTCCCACAGGGGATGTGCCCGCAACCCAGATACATGCCCTTGACCGGAATCGAACCTGGGGCCTTTCAGTCCACTGAGCCAAACCGGTTTCAGCTTTTCTACCTTTTTCTACTTAGCATTTGTCACCACCTAACACACTATTTATTTTACTTATGGATTTGCCTCCTCCAACTAGAATGGAAGTCCCATGAGGTAGGCATTTTTGTCTGTTATGGTCACCATTACCTAAAACAGTACCTGCTGCTAAATGCTAAAAAAACAAATGAGTAATTTTCTCAGGGGCTTGCTATCTGTCTTCCTAGCCTATCGTTATGAAGTCTTACTTTTCAAAAATTGGTTAATTTGTGCCTGTCTTTGATCTTTTGGGACTTACGTTCTTCATGAATTCCCAGCAGTTCCTTGATCACTACTCCAAGCAGCATCATGAAGATGGTCTTAATTTCTTCTGTAGCAATGTTTACCTTACTCCTTCAAGTTCAAAGGCCATGTTCCTTGATGAAAGTAGAAGAGGACTTGAATGGTTCTGTCTTCTTGTGGTCACTTGTTAATATTATCTCATCTCTTCTGAGACCAGGCTTATCTTTTATTAGTCCATTTATTTATTTTTAATTAATTAATTAATTTTTTTTTGCTAAAAACCCTTTGGTTGTTCATCGCATATTTTTTTTACAACTAATTATAGGCAATAATATACTATGCTTTTGCAGCCCTTTTAAAAATCTTTGTATTAACTGAATTAACTCTTGAGTAATTTATTTGTTCAACAAACATCTATACCGCCCTGGCTGGGTAGCTCAGTTGGTTAGAGCATTGTCCTGATACGCCAAGGTTGCAGTTTCAATCTCCATTCAGGGCACATACAAGACGCAACCAATGAATGCATAAATAAGTAGAACAACAAATCAATGTTTCTCTCTCAAAAAAAAAATCAATAAAAACAAACTAACAAACTAGAAAACACATCTATACCATGTCTTAGGAATACTGCCAGGAATCAAGACAGCCCTCACAGAGCTTATGTGTTAGGGGGCAAGCAATGACACCTGAACAGGGCACCTCAGTGAGAAAGGAAAAAGGGTCTGGGAGGAAGGGCTACTTTAGATAGGGTGGTCCAGGAAATGTTTCTGGGATGACATTTGAGATGAAGGATGAGAAGTGAGCCATTTGAGGATCTGCAGGAAGACCATCTGGGCATAGGGACCAGAAGGCGTGAAGGTCCTGAAGCAGGAATAGCTTTGGGTGTCCCAGGGACAGAAAGGCCGGTGTAGCTGAAGTGCAGTCAGAAAGGAAGGGAAAAGGTCAGAGAGAAAATCAGGGGTCCGAGCCGGCTTGGCTTCCAGCTACAGAGAGGAGTTGGATTTTGTTCCTATTGCACTGGGAAGTCATTGGAGGGCTTTTGGCAGAGGAATGATAATATCTGATTCGATTCTGAGTCGGTCACTCAGAGTGCAGTGTAGAGATGGGCTGTGGGCAGGAGACAGTGGAAGCTGTGATCCAGCAAGGAGTGACTTGGCATGGATGTGTGGGCAAGAATGAGTAGAGATGAATAGGACAGAAATGGTGGTAGTCAGGGGGTGTCTGGGGTGGGCCTGCAAGACTTGCTGAGGAGCTGGTGTGAGGCAGCACTGGGGGATGGGCGGGCTTGGTGCTACCTCCAGTGAGAGATGAGGGGACAGTTAATGGTAGAATTAGGGCCCGACTCCTGACCCTACCTCCTGTGGGCTTTTCCCCTCCTCTCTCCAGCTTTGGAAGCAGTAATCCTCAGAGGTTCTGTTCTATTACTAGAACAGAGGGGCTGTGGGATTCAGACTGGAGAGCAAGAGGAGGTGAACTCCAGAGAGATTGGCAAAAAATTTCAAGAACCAGGAGCCTAGAATACTTCCTGGGCTTAGTTGGGGCCTGGATGTCCCATTCCCTTTACAATACTGCCACCCAGTGGTGTGGAGTTAGTTGAACTGCAGGGCAGTAACTGGAACCTTTTCCTGTCATGCCAGGTCTTTAAGTGGACAGGAAGCAACTCTTTCTTTGTGAAAGGAGACTTGGATTCACTGATGATGGGCAGTGGCAGGTGGGTGTCTCAGTCCTCCCTGAGTCTCAGGGTGGTCTGTGTTCTGGTCCCTTCTCCTATCCAGAAAGGCTGAGCTAGGTTTTCTCATAAAATGAGGAGGCTAGTGGTTCACTTTCAGGTCTCTCCCTTCAGCAGCCCCTCAACGTCCCTCTAAGACAGAGGTTCTCAACCTGTGGGTCGCGACCCCTTTGGGGGTCGAACGACCCTTTCACAGGGGTCGCCTAAGACCATCGGAAAACACATATATAATTACATATTGTTTTTGTGATTAATCACTATGCTTTAATTATGTTCAATTTATAACAATGAAATTGGGGGTCACCACAACATGAGGAACTGTATTAAAGGGTCGTGGCATTAGGAAGGTTGAGAACCACTGCTCTAAGACAACATTGAAGAAAAAGGATGGCATGGACGCTCCCTCTGAGTGTTTGCAGTCGGTTGCCGCTTAGTCCGAATTTATGTCACTTTGGGAAGAGCATTCCACATGGTTGGATGAGGCTAGCCTCAAATTTACCTGTCAGCACCGTAATCCTAGGGAATGTAACTCACTGGAGTCTGCCCAGGAACCCTGCCTAAGGGTGTGTATATGTGTGTGTTGGGGGTGGGAAGTGGAGCAGGTTAGGAAGAAAAGGTTAGTCTTGCCCCTGGTATGACCTGCAAATTGAGGCAGAATCAATCCTATCCTGAGGACAAAGATGACAACACTAATCAGGACCAGGCAGCTGCTCTCCCAGCTGCCTGAACAGCCTTCAGAGGCAGCTGGACACAGAACACACCAGCTTTTTCTGACTTGCAGTAACTCACTTCCCAGCTCCAGCCTAGGTTTGCTGTCAGGTGAAGGAGTTAACGTGGATGCTCTCTGAAGTGTTTTGGGCTCTGAGTCTCACTCCTTTGGTTAAACCTTGCCATCTTGCCCTAGGCCAGTGGTCGGCAAACTGCGGCTCAGCAAACCACGGCTCGCAAGCCACATGCGGCTCTTTGGCCCCTTGAATGTGGCTCTTCCACAAAATACCGGCTCTTCCACAAAATACCGACTTCTGCACATGGGCCACGAAGTTTCAATCGCACTGTACATGCGCACCCACACGTGGTATTTTGTGTAAGAGCCACACTCAAGGGGCCAAAGAGCCGCAGGTGGCTCTCGAGCTGCGGTTTGCCGACCACGGCCCTAGCTGGTTTGGCTCAGTGGTTGGAGCGTTGACCCACGGGGGTCCTGAGTTTGATTCAGGTCAAGGGCAGGCTCGATTCTCCACACTCCAGGGCATGTGCAGGAGGCAAAAGGCAAACAATGAATGTCTTCCTCACGTCAATGTTTATCTCTCTATATCAGTGATGTCGAACCTATGACATGCGTGTCAGAGGTGACACGTGAACTCATTTTTTCGGTTGATTTTTCTTTGCTAAGTGGCATTTAAATATATAAAATAAATGTCAAAAATATAAATCTTTGTTTTACTATGGTTACAAAGATCAAAAAATTTCTATATGTGACACGGCACCAGAGTTAAGTTAGGGTTTTTCAAAATGCTGACACGCCAAGCTCAAAAGGTTCGCCATCACTGCTCTCTCTCTCTCTCTCTCTCCCTCTCCTTTCTACTCTAAAAATCAATGGAAAAAAATATCCTTGGGTGAGGATTACCAACAACAAAAAGCAAAAATAGAAAACAAACCTTGCCATCTTAAATACATTCCAAATGTTCTAAAACTGTGGTGAGCGTTGCACCACTGTATATATTTATTAAAACCACTGAACTGTAAAAAAAAAAAAATACTCTAAAACCTGTGGGGAATAATGTGTGGAGTCTCCAACAATTCAGGATAAATCGGTTTAAGGGACTTTGAAATATAAGCCGTCATGGTGTGGGTCTGAAAGGTCTCAACACCCAGGAGAGAGCCATGCCACGACTTTCCTCTTCTCTTAGTGGCCAGTTTGGGCTGTGGTTGGATGGAGACTTGTATCACGGAGGAAGCCACCCCTGTGCGACCTTCAACAATGAGGTGCTGGCCCGGCAGGAGCAGTTCTGCGTCAAGGAGCTGGAGGCCTGGGTTCTGAGCTGATGGCCCCACAGTGGGCAGCTTCCTGAGGTAGCAGGTGCTCTGACCTGCTCATGGATGCTGTCCAGGCCCTTACACGGGGCAGGCCATTCTGTCCAAAACACAATGGTGAAGTGTCCTAGTGCCGACTGTGGCTGTGAGCCAGCCTCCCGGTGGCCTGGGGACCCAAGACAGGCACGGGGCCGGAACGGAAGGAGTGAAAGCCAGTTACACCTCACCTGAGCAGGGCAAAGCCCCTCATGAAAATTATCTTCTAAAAAATTATGCAATGAATACATGTTTATTGTAGAAAAAAAAACAGAAGCCATTAAAAACTTAAATTGCCTAAAATTTAACCACCCCCCAGAACACTACCATTTTCATGTATAACCTTCCAGATAATTTTTCATGGAGATATATTTGTATATCTTACAAAAATGGGATTCTACTCTATATATTTTGGAAATTATTTTAACTTAAAGACTATTGTCAAACCACAGACACCTGGGCTTAGTGAAACTAATACTTTAGTAGTATCATTCTTTTTCTAGAACAATGAGGGCTGTGTGCCGGGTACTTGCAAATCTAATTTCATGAGGAAGATATGAAAGCGGCAAATGAACACTATGCATATTTAATAAAGAAACTAAAACTCTGCAGATGGGAACCTCGGGGAGTTTAAAACAGAGGGAAGATATGTTTTCAGGCACAACAGGAGCTCAGAAAACTAAGAAAAATCCATATCCCTTCCCATACTTGTACCCACCTCCTACCAGAGGAAAACATTCTTTATTATGCTATTGTTCACCATAACTGATTAAGAAAAGTTAAATAACATACATCCTGTTAAATATCATCCCCTCTCTCACAGACCCAACATAGCATTGAGGTACTAAAAACTATCTGGGTAAATTCCTAGACCTGTTTCCTTGGCACAAAAGGGTCAAAACTGGGCACACAGTGTGAGAGTCATTAAGGAAGACATCTTCGGTTTTAAGATGGAGATACATTATGAAGCTTTATTGCAGGTGTTAAATATTTACCCAAATTAAGTAACCAGTCATTTAAACTTGCAGTTCTGTTTACAGTCTCAAGGTGATAAGATTCAGTAACTCCAAAGACTAAGCTGTTAAAGTCTCCATTTTTATACAAACAGTGAAGATGTTCCTTAAAATAAATCTAACCTTGTAAATGACACATGGTTCTCATCATTAAAATAATTGTAAAAAGCATAAAGTGCAGCTGCCTTATATGCAATAGATTTAAGTTATTTATCAGGACAATGATACAGTATTGGGACTACAAAATTCCAAAGTAAACCACAATGATTTAAAGGTAGGAGTTGTAAAAATAAAACAATCTTAGCAGAAAAACTACATTCTTAACTGTGGGTCTGGGTACAGAGTGCTCCTCACTGGATGTTGTAGAGGCACCATGGCCAAAACAGGTATGGCCCAGTACCATGGCTGACTTCACCTGTGCTTCTCGAGCCCCCACGTGAACACATCCCCACCCACATGGTATCACAGTGGAAGTGAGAAAAGGGTTTTAATTATTCTATTAATTAGGGTCAACTCTTGATTATCTATATCGGGGTGGAGGAGGGGGAGTGAGACTATATAGAACGGCAGACATTCCGAATATTTTTCACTCTAGTGTCAACAGAACCTGGTTATATAGTGGGAGGTGGCATCACTCCTAAGAGTTGGGATAATCTGCTGGTCTGTGTTCGAATTCCTCCCTTCCTCCACTCACTCCTGCCACAGCCAGGGCTGGCTCCCATAAGAGGTGAAGGGCTCACAAAAAATGACTCCCATTCCTCACTACCTTGCATCTTCAGGATCCTCTGGCCACCACTGGCTTTGGCTCTAACTCCAGACTTTGCTCTTGGTGAATTTCTGTAGAACTGGACATGTGCGTGGGGGTGGGATGGGCACGTTGCTCAGCACAGGAGCACTGCTCAACCACAGTGGCATCCACTCCACAGCTAAAGGTAACGGAATCAATTTACAAAGGGGAACCTGGAATTCCCTGGGTAATCACTCAGCTCAGCACAGGCAGTTCCAGCTTTGCTCTGAAACCATAAAATGCACTGAACCAGCACCAACCAAGTCCAGCTCTGAGCAGCCCTGGAGGGTTCCTGTGACGGCCTCTGCTCAGCTCCCGAGATGCAGGAGCAAGTCAGAGGGGAGCTCCTTTTCCAGGCTGGGCAGTGGTATAGCCAAGACTTGGGCAGTGAGTATTTAGGAGAGAAAGAAACTGCCTGGGTCTGGAGCCACAACTGACCCAGAGGACAGCCTGGTTTGGGGGATCCCTCTGCCACTGAGGGTAGGGTCTCCTAAAAGGTATTTTATGTCCCACTTCAGAGGCCAGAGTCCTCTGATTTTTTCAATAATTTAATCAGGCTTCTCACCAAAGAGTTGGAGCCCACTCCTGGTTCTCATCTCTTACTGTTTACCCCAACTGGGCTAAAAGGGTGAGGGAAGGTGTCTTTCTCTAATGTTTAGATCACTTAAGGGGAGATGTCCTCAAGGTGACATTTCCTCAGAGGCTAGGATTTCAGTTGGTTTTAACCTTTGCTGTTCATGACAATCGCAACTTCAAATTCCAATGTGTACCCTTGTATCACTTCCAATTTTTTTTTAAAAAAACAATCATATGTCAGAAAAGTTTTCTAAGAAAATAGACTACTAAAAGAGAAAGGTTTTAATTAATACTAAAAATAGGTAAGGTTTTTTTTATAGCATACATAGCAAGATTTGCCTATTACCTTGTAGTTTCTTTGAATAAAAATTGTTCAGCTTCAGCATAGGTATACATTCAAAATATAAAATAAAGTTACTTGTTCAGCATAGGAGCACTCTGATCAAATTCCCTCAATTACTTAATTGTGTTGGGGTGAGGGACTTTTGTAAACAAATGATTGCAGACATTCATCTAGAGGCACCCGCGAAGTCCAGGGTTCTCCTTGCGTGGGTAGAAGCTGGACGCTCAGCTGAATTTGGGTAATTCCATTCCTTTTTTAGAGGTGTTATAAGTGGGGCTATAACATCGCCATCCTGTCAAAGAGAAAAATACCAGGAACAGAGAAAAGCCAGTTTTCAAAATTTCAGTGAAAGTCTCGGGTACATGCAGACTGATCACGTCCAGACCTACTTATTCTTGAGAAACCCCAAATTACATATACACCCTGCATTTGGGTCAAATTAGAAACACCAAAGTCCTAAGCAGATAAGAGCTTTGCTTAGCAAAAGCCACCAGACCTATTCTTTTCAAAAATGGTCAGAAGCAGCACACTGCCCAGTTCTTTAACCCCCTCCCTTCATACACCTTCACAGAATACAAACTGTCCTGTTTTCCCAGGAGAAAGAGAGACTTCACTGGACTCCTGCTCCTCCCTTGCCTAGTCCCCATCTCCCCCCCGCTTTTTTAACATTTTATGTATTGATTTTAGAGAGCAGAAAGAAGAGAAAGAATGAAAGAGAAACATTGTTTTGTTCTTCCATTTATTTATGCATCCATTGGCTGCTTCTTGTATGTGCCCTGACGGGGGATAAAACCTGCAACCTTGCATATGAGCTACCCGGTCAGGACCTTTGTCCAGTTCCCTCTGCAATACATGGCCCTGGTCTACAAGATGGCAAAAACAACAAAAACAAACAAAAAAACTAACAAAAAAACGGAAGAACAGGTATGTACCTACAGAACTTGAACTTTTCTCTGCAGAGCTATAACCTAGACTCATCAGCATAGACTCTGCCCAAAATGAGGAACAGTGTAAGAAGCAAGATGTTTTAATACCTGACTCTATCCTAAATAAACCATTCTTGAATTTATGAATAGATTCTTTTAGGTTATATAAGAGCGCAGGACCTTTGACAGCCTTTCGTGCACCAGGAAAGTGATGTCTGTGGTAGAATGCTGTGCTCATTCGCCTGTTTGCTCTCAGATCCACTCATCACCTTCCCTCTGCTCCACTCTGTATTATGGGGCTGATCTTGTAAACTCCCATTTCCCAGCTCCCAACCTATTGGCTTCCAGTTAGGTTTGGCCCACGGGAAGCACTGGTGGAAGATTGCAAAAGAGGAGGGCAGAGCCCGGCCGGCATGGCTCAGTGGTTGAGCATCAACCCATGAACCAGGAGGTCACAGTTCTATTCCCAGTCCAGGCACATGCCCGGGTTGTGGGCTCGATACCCGATGAGGGGCGTGCAGGAGGCAGCCAATCAATGATTTTCTCTCATCATTGGGGTTTCTCTCTCTCTCCCTTCCTCTCCTTCCTCTCTGAAATCAATGTTAATTAAAAACCCGCACACCATATTTGAAAAGAGGGCAGAGAAGCCTGGGTATTTCTCTCCCTAACCCTCTGGCACAGGCAGCAGTAACTGTGACGCTTCTGTGGTTCTAGCTTCTGCAGATTACCCCAGCACCTCAACTCCCACCTCCTACCCTAGAGCTTCCTACTGTTGTCTCAACCATCCCATTTGCTGGTTTAGCTCTAACAAAAATTTGTATCAAAGGCCCCATTTTAAATTTCTTGTTTTGAATTACACTGGATCTGACTTGATACAGCTATGAAAAGCAGCCATTTAATTGCCATGATACTCATATTTGGAAGATCTATCTCAAAGTCAACATTATTTGTCTTCAAATCCATCTCTATTTCTACCAAATGTCCTTATTTCTACCCATTCTAATTTCAACTCCAGTGAATTTTATAAATGCAAACCTGAATATGAATATGTCATTCTCCTGCCTAAAACACTACATTGGCTCCCATTGTTAATGGCTTAAAGGACTATGCACAATGTCCTAGACCCCTCCCCTAAATGCACCATATTCTTTTGCATCTTCTGATCTCCCCTCCCCCCTTTAATTCAGCTGACTCCTTCTCATCCATCCTTCAGGTCTCAGCTTCTAAATCCTTCTTTATTTTATTTTATTTATATAGAAAGAGGTGGGATTGGGAGGGAGACAGAGACATTGATATGAGAAACATTGATCAGTTGCCCTCCCATATGCGCT